GGGTTAATCTCCAAAATATATAAACACCTCACACAACTGAACAACAAAAAAGCAAGCAACCTGATCAAAAAATGGGCAGAGGATATGAACAGATATTTTTCCAAAGAAGATATACAGATGGCCAAGAGGCACATGAAAAGATGTTCAACATCGCTAATCATCAGGGAAATGCAAATCAAAACTACAATGAGATATCACCTCACACCTGTTAGAATGGCTAATTACCAGGACAAAAAACAACAAATGTTGGAGAGGATGCGGAGAAAAGGGAACCCTCATACACTGCTAGTAGGAATACAAACTGGTGCAGCCACTATGGAAAACAGCGTGGAGATTTCTCAAAAAACTAAAAATAGAAATACCATACGACCCAGGTCTTCTACTACTGGGTATTTATCCAAAGAACTTGAAATCAATAGTTCCGGGAGACTTATACATCCCTATATTCATTGCAGCATTATTCACAATAGCCAAGACATGGAAGCAACCCAAGTGCCCATTGACTGATGAATGGATAAAGAAGATGTGGTATATATGTATATACCACACACACACACATACACACACACACACACATACACACACACACACACACACATATATATACAGTGGAATACTGCTCAGCCATAAAGAGAGACAAAATTTTCTCATTTGCAACAACATGGATGGAACTTGAGGGTATTATGTTAAGCAAAATACACCAGACAAAGACAAACACCATATGATTTCACTCATATGTGGAAGATAAATAAATTCATGGACAAAGAGAACAGATTAGTGGTTACCAGAGAGGAAGGGGGTTGGAGATGGGCCTAAGGGATAAAGGGGCACATATATATGGTGACTGACAAATAATAATGTACAACTGAAATTTCACAATGTTATAAACTATTACGACCTCAATAAAAAAAAAGACACCAAAAAAACCTAAAGGAAATAAATTATTTGTAAGAATAAGAAGAAATAAGGGAAATATATTTGGAAACACCTTTAAGAAAATGGATTTATAAGATAGTAAGTATAAAACATCCATTTGAAGAAATAAAATATGAAATAAAATCAGTAAAGAAGAATATATAAATGGCTAGGCATATTGTTGAATAACCCACTAGAATTTTTAGAACTAAAAATAAGTTGTTGAAATTCTGAAAAACGGATTAAATATCAGATTAGACACAGCTGAAGAGACATTACTGCAAAATACAACTGAATAAATGACACAGTTCAAGTACAAGGTGACAGAAGAAGAGAAATAGGACACAAAATTCAAAGATGTGTAAGATAGGAATGAGAAGATAGATAAAACGTAAGTAATTGGAACAAAAGGAGGAGAAAAAAAAACTGAGAAGCAATATTTGAGGCCATAATGGCGTAGAATTTTCCAGAAATGATGCAGTAAAGCCACATATGTGGGACACAAAATGCACACCAAGCAGGATAAATACAAAGAAATATCTAGTATGTGTTAGTAAACTGGAGAACACTGGATCTTAACAGCCAGAGAGAAAAATCAGGTCACCTACTAAGGAAGGAGACAATGCCAGAGACTTCATCCAAATTACGCAAAAAATATTTGTCAATCTAGAGTTATGAACTCAAGAAACTATTTTTTAAGAATGAGAGTTGTCAAAGAGAAATAAAGCTAGTTAAAGGCAATATAGATAGATTTCATTCAGTAACTATTGCACTGGGGGAGAGAAGTTTCTGTAAAACAGAATTGAACTCCAAATACAGCAAAGACAGAGGGGATTTATAACCAACAAACAGAATGAGGGGGTCAGTGGATAGGAAATTACTAAGAGGAAACTGGTCTAACAGAATTCCTGCTAAATGCAGGCCAGGGACTTAGCATCCAGGGTGGGATGTAAGGAACTTGATCAGATATCAGGGGTTATCAGATATCAAGGGCAAGGGGATTCTCACTAGATGGACTTAAGAAGGATTCTTGTTAAAACTGAGCTCAGGAAGGATGGACATGAAAGGCCAGGGTCGAGGCCTAGCTGAGATAGGGCTCAGAGGAGCCTAACTAAAGTTTAGTCGAGGAGAGAGCCTTTGTCAGTGTTTCATTAAATTTGAATTGATCCTAAAATAAATTATAGAAACCATATCTTTTATTATATAATTTCATTAGTAAAATTCTAATGGAGAGACTACAGGAAGAAAGAAAATGAAACCCAAAAGAATGCCTGAGATGAGAGGAGTGGTAAGTGACAAGAAATTAGCAAACGTATAGGTAAATTTAAACAATATGTGTATAAATTAATTATGATACCTAAGTTTTAGGGCTAAAAAAGACACTATTATATACTAAACAATAATTGCATAAAAATGATGTGGGAGTGATCAAATTGTGTTTGATTCTTCTGTTATTTAAAAAAAGAGGTTTAAGACGTTGACTCAGTTTAGATTTTAAGTTAAATATTCATGGTAAAATTTAATGGATAGCCACCTAAAGTTGAGAAACAGGTGTGTACAACTTGCAAAGTTGTAAAGAGGAGAAAATGGAAAAGATAAAAAAACGAGTGAGTCCAAAAAGAACAAGAAAAGTACAGTAGAAGTAATAGTAAAACTGTGACAAATATAAAGTACCAAGTAAATGTAAGAGAAAACTTGATATATTTCAATAGTCACCATAAATGTAAAAGGATTAAATTCACCTGTTAAAAAACAAATCATCAAATTGGATCTTCAAAAAAAATAAGATCTTGCTATGTCTAAGCTATTAGGTTTTAGTTTATTCTGATGACTCCTTATTTATATCTTCAGCATCTTTTGCCTACTCAGCATTAAATGTTTTACCTTTCTGCAGGACATCTCCAACAGGATATTCTGATCCCTCCAATGTGGCAAGAACTAATATTGAAATCATTATTCACAAATCATAAATCTTCCCCATTTCCCTTCATTTATTAGGTTCTATGAACCTTCTACTGTTATAACTGACGATCATAGTATCATTTTGTTTTTCTCTCTGTCATCCTTCCTTACTGATGTTAGATCACTATCTATAACTGTTACACTTTTGTAAACTGTTTTTTCAATAATTTCATATTCTCACTTTCCATTGACACCACTGAAAACACTAACCATATTGTTTTATTTTTTGTTCTAATTCCTAAATGAAATTAGACTTTTCCCCTCAAAGCATCTAATTTATCATGTTAGTAACCTGACATATTTTTTGCAATATGTAATATATGAAATTTAAGTTTTTCTCATTTAATGACCCTTAAATGTGGCTCCCTCTCATCTCTGTGGCACAAAACCTGCTGCTAAACTCCCATTTAATCCTTCTTCTGAAGTATCACCCATATATGTGCTTTCCTTCCCTACAACTTCACATTTGATTCCTAGGTACTTGATGATAATGTAAATTAATATATGAAAAGTACATGGAACAGTGCCTGGCTTATGATAATGATTTGTTATTTTTCCTGTTATTATCATTATTATTTTTTTGAGCACATTTTTAAGCTCAAAGTTCCAGAGCTTTTATGAAATGTTCCTCAATTGCTTTGATTTACATTATCTACTATAGATTCTGATTCCTAATAATGTATGAGGCTATTATCTTATCTGGATTATGCTTTCTCCAAAGAGGGCATATCTTACTTTGCTATGTAACATATAATGGATATTGGATCACTAGTTAATTGATTAACTGTGACTCTTGATGAACGAGAGAGCCTTTATGTTTATTCATTCAGGAAATACTACAAGGAATTAACTTCTCAATGCACATGTTGGGTTATAAACCTCTAGCTTCTTATTTAGAAATTATAACTTTATATAATACTTGAGATTTGTATTTTGAAAAAACACATGACTTGTTAAGGACCATTAATTTCATATCCGCTCAGAGGTATTCAAAGGAAATCAGAGATAAACACTTCTAAGACCATAGGTTGTAGTTGGAAATGGAAAAAAGCAAAAAATAGAACTGAAGTATTTTAAATTTCGGCAGTTAACAGGCAGTGTTTATGTTACAGAAGAGTATTATCTAATGTTGTGATAGAATGAGATGTATAGACTGTAATTTCAATGTAAATAGAACTGGAAATTGTAGAGACGTTTGTGAAGACTTATTTGGAAGAAGAAATGAGACAGTATCATTTTCCCAAAGAATGTATAAGTTCTGAGCAAAGCTAAAATGATAATGTAAGCCAGCTGAGTGAAATTCGTGGTTGATCTTGAAGAATTTATGGCAAGTTAGTAGTCCGGCATGTCTAGAAAGAAGACATTTATTAGGGACTTGTGGAGTGATAAGTGCTTGGACACCCAAGTTATTTGTATTCTTTGTAAGTCACATAAGTAGAGGGAGAATTAGAAACTAGGCTACAGGACTCCTTAGGCATGAAGAAATTGGTGCTTTCAGAAATTTAATTTGATATTAACAGTATACTAAATTAACACTACATGACAAAGAATAAAAATAATTTTAAAAAGGAGAATGAAACTGGGAATGTAAATCATAGAATTTAGCTGCAATAGTGTAAGTAGGAGAATAAAATTATGTAAAGTCTCATCTACTTCCTTCAAAAGATTAGATCATTCCTCTGGTATTTTTCCAGGGCACTCATATCTACAAATCTTCTTTGTCTCTCTAGTTCTCTGCATTTCATATTGCTAGCTCATCAGGGTTTTTTTCTTTTTTTCTTCAAAATCTGTTTTCCTATATTCATTGTGCTTTGTATTCATTTCTAACCTCTATATTAAGTCTTGGAGTACATATTTGTAAATTGCCAAATGTAGATGTGTGTGTTCTGAGTTTCTGTCCCCACCAAATGTAGATGTGTGTGTTCTGAGTTTCTATCCCCATTTTTCACTCTTTCAGGTTTTGTTTTTTTCTAAGTCAAAAGAATGGGAGAAATGAACATTTTGGATTATTCTTACTTTAAGAAACTAAATCAACTGTATAAAAGGGCATTTGTATATAAGTGTATTTCATCATGATTATTATAAGATTCATAACTTATGGGGTTTTTTTTCCTCATTTCTAGAAGTCTGCGAAGTTGATAACCAACTAGAGCAGAGTCAAGAAATCCAGGACAGACATTTCTGGCAAGCTCCATTTATCAACAACAAAACACTGACTATAGAGAGAGGTAATGTATTAGGAAAAATGTTTAATTTTAGCACAGACCTATTTCCTTCCATAAAAATACCCAGTAAATGTGATTCATGTGGTATTAGTTTGAAATACATTTCAGAATTATTTATTAATAAGAAAAACTATTTAAGAAGGAAGACTGATGACATCAATGCATTTGGGATGTTGTTCCTTCATATTAACCATGAAAAAACTCACATGGGAGAGAAACCGTATGAATTCATTCAAAATCAGAAATACCTCAGTGAAAATGAAGACTTCATTCCATATCAGAAAATTAAAAATGTAGAGCACTCTTTTGAATACGAAGAATGTGGGAAAGATTTCCATGAGAAAGCAGTTGTCATCACATATAAACAAGCTCACATAGGAGAGAGTCCTTGTGAACATAATCAATATGATAAAACATCCTGCAGTTGTCCAACCCTCATGGTCCATAAGATGGCACAAAAAAGAGAAAATCTTTATGAGTTTAATGAATATGGGAAAACCTTTGAGAAGCCATGTCTCTTGATACATAGAGATGATTTGAAGGGGAAAGGTTCTGATTGTATTGAAAGAGTGGGTAATTTCAGCAGGAGATCAAACTTTCCTGAAACAAGAGAGAGAACATTTGAATGTAACAACTTGGAGGAACCTCTCTGGGAGAAGTCAGTTTTTAATATAACTCAGAGAACACACACAGGAGACAAGGTCTATGAATGTAGTGAATGTGGAAAAGCATTCTATGAAAAGTCGAAACTCACCAAACATCAGGGAATGCATGCAGGAGAGAAACTCTTTGAATGTAATGCATGTGGGAAATGCTTCTCTAGGAAATCCCTCCTCAATTTACATCAGAGAATCCACACAGGAGAGAAACCCTATAAATGTAATGAATGTGGGAAATCCTTCTCTAGGAATTCACACCTCATAATACATCAGAGAACTCACACAGGAGAGAAACCCTATGAATGTAAGGAATGTAGAAAAAGCTTCTACCACAAGTCATATCTCACAGTACACCAGAGAATTCACACAGGGGAGAAACCCTATGAATGTAATCAATGTGGAAAAACCTTCATAAGCAACTCAGTCCTCACAATACATCAGAAAATACACACAGGTGAGAAACCTTATGAGTGTAATCAGTGTGGGAAATTTTTTTCTAGGAATTCATACCTTACAATACATCAGAGAACTCACACAGGTGAGAAACCCTATGAATGTATGGTATGTGGGAAAACTTTCTGTCACAAGTCAGATGTGACTAAACATCAGAAAACTCACATAGGAGGGAAACCCTATGAATGTATTCAATGTGGGAAAACCTTTAGTCGCAACTCAGGCCTAAAAGTACATCAGAGAATTCACACAAAGGAGAAACCCTATGAATGTATTGAGTGTGGGAAATCCTTCTCTGAGAAATCAGTCCTCACAGTACATCAGAGAATCCACACAGGAGAAAAACCTTATAAGTGTAATGAATGTGGAAAAACCTTCTACAATAAATCAGACCTTACTAAACACCACAGAACTCACACAGGTGAGAAACCATATGAATGTAAGGAATGTGGGAAATTTTTCTCTAGGAATTCTTACCTTACAGTACACCAAAGAATTCACACAGGGGAGAAACCCTATGTATGTAAAAAATGTGGGAAAATTTTCTACCATAAGTCAGACTATATGGTACATAAGAGAACACACAGAGGGGAGAAATCTTATCACTGTAATCAGTGTGGGAAAACTTTCACTTGCAATTCAGTCCTCAAATCACATCAGAGAACTCACACAGGGGAGAAGCCCTATGAATGTGATGAATGTGGGAAATCGTTCTCTGAGAAATCAGTCCTCACTGTACATCAGAGAATACACACAGGGGAAAAGCCTTATAAGTGTAATGATTGTGGAAAGTCCTTCTATCATAAGTCAGATCTCACTAAACATAGGAGAACACACACAGGGGAGAAACCCTATGAATGTAATCATTGTGGGAAAACCTTCAGTTGCAACTCGGGTCTGAAAGTACATCGGAGAAGACACATAAGGGAGAAACCCTATGAGTGTATTGAGTGTGGGAAAAACCTCTAAGAAATCAGTTTTCACAGTACATCCAAAATTACACACAGGGTGAGACTATTATAAATGTAGCAGTGAGAGAAATCTTTCTCTAGCGATTCATGCCTCAAAACACTATGGAGAATTCACACAGGACGTGACCCCTGTGAATGTAAAGAATGTGATGAATCTTTTACCATAAGTCATATTCCAAAGTAAGTAAGAGAATACACATAGGGGAAAATACTGTGAATGTGATGAATATTTGGAAATCTATTATAAATAATACCACTAAAAATGACTAAATATATGTGGAAGCAACCCTACTAATGCATGTAGGGAATGTGGAGAAATAATTTTATTATAAATCAGAGCTTATTAAACAAAGACTTTACATAGGAGATAATCCCTATGAATCAAATGGATGTAGGAAATTGTTCCTCCAGTATTTGGCCATTAATAACAATCCGATAACCCACACCTGGGAAAAATTAACATCTTGTATTTTTTGAGACCTCTATACACAAGTTGTAGTCACTGTATGTCAGAGACATAATAGAGAAGATACCCAAAGTATGCAGCAAATGCAGTTGTGCCTATATCAAGAAATGCCGTTTTACTGAACAAGATAATTGCTATTGAGATGAATCCTTAAAGATGTTTTGAATGTAACAAAATTCAGACTTTATTTTGTCTGAAAATGTGTTGAAGGAGGTCTGTCAATTTAAGAAATATGGACAGAAAATTTCCTTTAGATATGATATTATTCTAAAGTTATGTTTTGTTTTGCTCTGATCTTAAATGTTTTAGTAGAAATAAAACTGAAAATAGACATAAAAATATTAACTGTGGAATATGAACCTTTTTTTAAAAGCAGAAATAAATTGAATAATCTTCTCAGCCTCTGATTCCACTTTTGGAGAAACATGTCAGTATGGCTCTCTTCATCTTGGAGCCGTCACATGTTTTTGATTAGTCTGTCCTCCAACTATGTTATTACCTCTGCAAATAATGCCTAATGATCTGGTTCATCCTGGGAGGTATTTCTAGGGGATCTCAGGATGCACCACCCCTACCCCTGAGTAAACATCGGGACCAGCCACAGGCAGCCTTGAGGCTGCATCTACCTCCTCTTCTTAGGTTCAGGAACTAGAAACACCATTGAATACATGAAGAAGGGTAGAGTAATGCCTAGAATACTCTAGGATATATGACCTCAGTAACATGAAGTTATATATTCAAATTTACAGGAAGCTCATCATAGCTTACTTTCTTGACTTTAAGCTTACTGACCCAATTACAGCCCATCCTTTCAGGGAACAGAAACTGGGTATCATTTCAGTGAAATATTTCACATGTGTCCAATTATGAGAAATATGATAACCATCAGTGTACCTATTGCAAGTTGGAAGTATTAGAAGAATAGTTGAAGCATCTGCATACCGTCCCCAAACCCATTCCACATCCCATAACCTTCACCACCTTCAGTACTTTTCTAAACTTGGTTTATATTGATCCCATGTCTCGTTACTTTTACAATAATAACATACATATATTATTGCATGTGTGTGTGTGTAATAACATTGTTTTGCAAGTATTTATATCGGTGCGAACATGTGTTCTGGAACTTGCTTTTGTCTTCAAATGCATAGTTTTGATATTTATACATGTTTATATATTTAGTTTCAGTCAGTTCATTTTAATAAAGCATAACATATGACTGTGTCTGTATAACAATATTGTCTATTTTCCTGTTTATGAAAGTTTTCAAATTTTTCAGTTTTACTATTAAAACAGTAATGCTTGAAAATTTTTTAAAAATCAATTTTGACGTAAATTTAAACCTGGTAAAATATACACTATTTAAGCAGCCAATTTGATGAGTTTTAACAAGAGTATACCCACATGTAATCACTCCTACAATTAAGATTGACAACAGACTCATTATCCAGAAAGTTTTCTAGTTTCCCTTCCAAGTCACTCCTGGGACTTCCCCCTCCCTCCTGGCCCTTAGCAACCAATAATCTTCTTTCTATCCCTCGGTTAGATTGGTTTTTTTTTAATCTCCTTTCACATAAATGGAGTTGTACAAGATGTTCCCTTTCTTGTATGTCTTCTTTCATTTAGCATGATTTTGAGATTCCTCTATATTTTAGCATGTATCAGTAACACCTACATTTTTATTGCTGAGTAGTATTCCATTGTATACATATATTACAGTTTATTGATTCACCTGTTGTTTCCAGTTTTTGATTATTATGAATATAGCTACGCTGAACATTCATGTGCAATTTTGTGTAGACATGTTTTTATTCCCCTTGAATAAATACTTAGGAGTGAAGTTTCTGGGTTTGTAGGGTTAGTATATGTAATGTCACACTTTTCTAAAGTGGTTCTTCCGTTTTACATTTATGTCAGCAATGTGTAAGAGTTGCAATTGTTCCACATTTTCTCAAATACTTGGTATTGTCACTTTTTGATGTAGCCATTCTAATGAGCGTATAGTGGTATTTCACTGTGGTTTTCATTAACATTTCCCTGATGGATAATGATGTTATGCATCTTTCACTTACTTATTGGCCATTTGTGTATCTTATTTTGTAAAGCATCTGTTCAAATCCTTTGTCCACTTATTAGTTGAGTTGTTTGTCTTATATTGAGTTCTAAGAATTCTTTATTAATTATGAATATTTTCCCTCAGTCTGTGGCTTTTCAAAAGAAGTTTTTCATTTTGATAAAGTCCAGCTTATCATTTTTTTCTTATCAAAGAAATCTTTGCAGATCTAATGGTATCAAAGATTTTTTTCCCATGTTTTCTAAATGATTTAACTCTGTGTTTAGGTATGTGACTTATTTTGAGTACGTTTTTGTGTATGGTGTGTGTTAAGGGTTGAGATTTATATTATTCCATTTGAATATTCAGTCGTTTCAATACCATTTGTTCAGAAGACTATCCTTTCCCCATTGAATTAGTTTGTCACCTTTTTTGAAATCCAGTTGATTGTTTGTGTTCGTGTGTGTGTGGGGGGGTGGTTACCTATAGACCTTTTTTCTGTTCCACTGACCTATGTGTCTTCTTTATACGATCTGTATTCTCTTACCTTTATAGTAAGTCTTTATGAAATAGTATAAATTCTCCAGCTTTGTTCTCCTGTTTTAAAATTGTTTTGGCTATTCCAAGTCCTGTTCATTTCCACATACGTTTTAGAATGAACTTGTCAATTTCTAAAAAAAAAAAAATAAAGGCTGCCTTTAATATTGTTTTAGAATTTCATTGACTCTGTAAGTCAGTTTGGAGAAAACTGACATCTTAGTATTGACTCTTCTGCTTCATGAATATGTCTCTCCATTCAATTGGATCTTTAATTTTGCTCAGCATTGTTTTATAGCTGCCAGAGTACAGATATTGCACATGTATTAAATTTCTAAGTACATCTTGGTTTTGAATGCTATTATAAATAATATTATTTATTTAATTGCAATTTCCTGTTGTTCTTTGTTAGTAAATAGAAATACAGTTGATCCCTGTGTAATGACCTTATTTCCTTTAACCTTGATAAACAAACTTAGTTTGGGTAGCTTTTTTGATTCCTTAAGGTTTTCTTTGTATATGACCATGTCTTCTGCACTTGCTTCTTCTCTTCCAATTTTTATGCTGTTTACATCTTTTTTCTTACCTTATTGCAGTTTTATTACAATGCTGAAGAGAAATGGTGACAGAAGGTATCCTTCTTATTCCCAGTCTTAGAGGAAAGCATTCTTTCACCATGTTTCATGTCAGTTGTAAGTTTTTCAGGTTTAGGATATTTTTTTTCTATTCGAGTTTGAATGTTCAAACAGACTTGTATTTCTGGGATAAAATCTACTTGGTTGTGATCTGTCATTTATATATTGTTGAATTTGATTTGCAAATATTGTGTTAAAGACTTGTGTCAATGTTCATGAAGAATAATGTCTGTGATCTGTACTGATATCCCCCATCTCATTCGTAGTATTGGTAATTTGTTTTCTCTTTTTCTTCATCAGTCTTGCTGGAACTTTATCAGTTTTACTGACTGTGTTTTTCAAAAGAATGAGGTTTTGGGTTCATTGATTTTCTCTGTTGTTTGTCCTTTTTCTATTTCATTGACTTCTATTCATTTCTTTAATATATTTATCCTTTCACTTATTGTGGGATTAGTTTGTTCTAACTTCTTAAAATAGAAGCCTAGGTCATTAATTTTGAAATTATTTTTATTCTAATATAAGCTTTTAAAGTCTGCATTTCCCTCCAGGATCTAGAAATTTTGGTAAGTTGTGTATTCATTTTCATTTAGTTCAAAATATTTTCCCATTTACCTTGAGATTTCTTTTTTTTTTTTCAGTGAGGAAGATTGTCCCTGAGCTAACATTTGTTGCCAATCTTCCTCTTTTTGCTTGAGGAAGATTGTTACTGAGCTAACATCTGTGCCTATCTTCCTCTATTCCTGTGGAATGCTGCCACAGCATGGCTTGATGAGTGGTGTGTAGGTCTGCACCTGGGATCTGAACCCATGAACCCTGGGCCACCAGCGTGGAGCAGGTGAACTTAACCCCTATGTGACCAGGCCGGCCCCCCTTGAGATTTCTTTTTCATATGGATCCTTTAGAAAAGCCTTGTGTAATTTCCAAATATTGGAGGATTTTTCTGTTTTTCATTTCTAATTTAGATTCTTTGTGATCAGAGAATATAATCTTTATGATTACATTTGTTTTAAGTTTATTAAGACTTCTCTTATGGCTCAGTACATTCTCTTTCTTGGTGAATATTCCAAGTGCACTTGAAAAGATTTATGTATTCTGCTCTTACTAGGTAAGGTGTTCTAAAATGTCAAGTCAAGTTGGTTGATAATGTTTTGCAAATTGTGTATATTTGTGTTGATTTTCTCTCAATTGTTTTATCAATTTTTAGGAAAGGAGTGTTGAAGTCTCCAACTGTAATTGTGATTTTGTATGTTTTTCTATTCTGTCAGTTTTTCATGTAACTTGAAGCTCTAATTTTAGGTGCATTCACATTAAGATTGTTATGTTTATTTTTTCATTGTGAAATTTTCCTATGTATTTCTGGCAAAGTTCCTTTTTCTGAAATCTACTTTTTCTGATATTAATATAACCACTTCAGCTTCTTATGATTAGTATTTGCATGGTGTATCTAATTCTGTCTTTTTCTTTTAACCTATATTTGTCTTTATATTTAAAGTGAGTTTCTTTTTGACAGCATAGAATTGGCTCTTGCTTTCTTATCCTGTCTGATAATCTCTGCCTTCTATTGGAATGCTTTTAATTGGAGTAAATTTTTATTTGAACATCTACCATCTTGCTATGTTTTTCAATTGAAATTTTTATGTGATGATTGTAGGTTCACATGCAGTTTTAAGAAACAATACGGAGAAGTCCTGTGTATTCTTTACCCAGTTTTCCCTAATGGTAACATTTTGCAAAACTGTAGT